TGGTTTATCTGTGCTATTTCGGGTTTATCTGTACTATATTGGTTATAATTTCTTAATTAAATGGTAGATTAACAATTTAAGTACATTTCAGCTGTGGAATATATTTTTTTTGCCCGAAAAATACAAAAGGCGATCAATGGCTTTAAGACTGCTTATTTTACAACTTGAAAAAGTATGGGGGTGAACCTTGACTCTAGTTTAGAGCAATGAGAGAAATCGACGAAGCATCCTTAACTGTTCTTTTCTGACTAAACATTCAACGAATCGGTTATTGTTTGAATGGTGGCCAACATTTGACATAACTTGACTAATATAATATGATGGACGGCCATGATTGATAACCATGGTGCCCAAGAGAACATTCTATTTAATCTTATTATTGATTAAGCCCTAGTTACAGACTCCTAACTTGGAACAAAAATGATCGTCTTTACAAATTGATAGGAATTTACAGCAGCGCGTTGAAAACATCACAACTTTTTATGTATTTTGGTTTCCGATTCTCGAGAAATTCAAGTCGTTATTTTGTATTTTATGGGTTACATAGATTTGTTATCCCTAGACTTGATCCTTCTGATTTGATTTTCATACTGCTATGTCAAGACTCATTCATATACAAATCAAATGTTTTTATTTGTCAAGCCTTCAAGTTGCCGATAAATAGACGGGATGTCAATCTGACTTCAATGGCGATTTCATCAATAGAAGAATTGCGACGCGTCTGTGATAAATTGTAAGACATTTCGAAGTCTGTTCGTTTAAATGGATTAAAACCCCTAAGTACATCGAAATTTAGTAGGTACTAGAATATTCTGGTCCTACTAATCGCCTACAAGAGGGTTGTGTAGATGATGATGTGTCTGCTGATAGGCGAGCCGTTTTCTACTACAGCGTAGTGATCGTATCACACCAAATTAAGTGAGAGAGAGAAATGGGGTTTAACGTCCACTCGACACAAACTAGGTCATTTCGGGACTAACATATGGTTTAATTTTATTTCAATAATTCGCTTGCGCATAGTGGTTTTTAGCAGTGGGAGGAAACCGGAGGACCCGGATTAAACCCACGAGGTTGGACAGGCGACCCTACTCATTGTCACGTACAATCGGGGATTCGAAACCACGCCAGTCGACTCAATGACAGACTTTATGATACAGTGCGCGCACGCTAACCATTCAGCCATATAATCCCCCTCCAAATTAAGTGACCGAGCTGATAAACACTATGGCGGATAGTATTAAACCAGTAACAAGACATGTTTTAATCAAAAACAGTATTCTTGTATGAATGCCTATCAGTAAGTGACCGCAAAATAAACAGAATATTATTATGAATGATATTCCTGAGAACGAGCGGTTTTCATGCAAGATACGCCCACATCTCGCATAAGATGGACAGAAAATAAGTTAAAAAAGCGATTTTTCGTACAATCAGGGAACTTAATCCAGGGAGTTATAATCCGATATGCGCGAATATCAAAAGGAATCGAAATCTCTGGGAAATAAACACACATTCTGAGTTTTGTCAAAATCAGATAAAAATTCTGACCTTGATATAACATACTTTTACACAATTTGCGTACAAGGAGCGGCAATTTTGTCGGTTCGTTTCGGTCTGATTTTCACGAAATTCAAACCCAATCATCATCAGGGTGTAACGGTGATGTATTTGAACATTTTTTTTAAAACTTAAATCGGACAAAAATTGTGATTTTTTCGTACAATCAGGGGTCATAATCCAGACGGTTAAGATCTGATATGCGCGAATATCAAAAGGAACCGAGATCATTGGGTTATAAACATACAGTTTCGTGTAAATCAGATAACAATTGTGACCTTTAGAGGGTCCACAAGCTAAAAACGTGATTTTTCGTACAACCAGGCGCAATAATCCACGAAGTTTCGATTCGATACATGCCAATATTGAAAGGAGCCGACTTCTTTTGGCGATAAACCTATATTTCTCAAGTTTCATCAAAATCGGATAATAATTGTGACCTGTAGAGTGCCAACAAACAAATTGTGGACGGACGTCTGAATGGACGGGCAGGGTCGACGACAATATACGTCCACATGAAAATATCGGCGTATCAAATATAAATGACATATGAACATCTGGTTTTACGAAGCTCCAATTCAACTTCAAAAGATTTGGTTTAATTCTAATGTTTTTGGCATTCCTAAATAACGTGACATATTCGCCATCTTGCGCCGGTGTTCACCGCGGCTGCCAAAGCGTACGGCGATAGCCCTACTTTTGTCGACTTTGAACTTCCGGTTAAATCAAGTGACCTTGCCGTAGCGACTGTCGAACTGTGGTCAGCCGGTATGCACAGGTATAGACTAATTAAGCAGGACCGATGTGTGGCATATCTATAACATATCTTTACATGTCGGGCACGTTTTGCAGTACATTTGGTGGTATGAATAGTTTTGGGTACAAAGGCGAATATATCCCGATTTATGCGTGCACCCGTTAATGTCTATATCTATTTGGAAGTTTATAAACGTAGGACAGTGTCCACCAGCAGTTCTAATATATATTACCTCGACAGTCGCCGCAGTCCTTTCTAGGATACCCGATACAACCTCTCGTAACAAATATTTATTGTACTTCTGTATCAAACAAGAAAAAGTGATATGTCAAATTAAGCATTTTTGTAAATGTATTTATTATTTCATTGTATCGGTGGCTTACATGGTGAATTTAATGTCGGGTTTCCCCTTGTAAGTGAAGCGGGACGGAAATGCCTGATATGGAAGAACGTTTAGTCGTTGGCATCATGCGTTAAAGAGACCTCTTAACAGCTGGAAATCGAAAAATCAGTAGATCAGGTCAGGACATTTGTTAATGTGGCGGGCGCTAGGTGGAAAGTTGAATGGTGAGCATCTGTACAGGTGACCAGGCGTGATTTGGTGCATTCTGACTTTTCTCATGTATCAAAATTCACCTTTATTGTAAGCTCCGATCCGCCCTATAACCAGACCAGAAATTGTAATAAGACTAGATGAAACACGCTATAAATAATGTAGTATGATATATTCTATTGTACTAGAAACCATTTGTAACTTGGCCCACCAGATTTGGATGATTTGGGTGGACTGATGTTTCAAATTATTGGACTGATGCGCATGGTTCACCCATGGTGAGAAATTATTATTATTTGTTACCCCCTCCCCCCTTAACCCTGCCCCCCCCCACCCCAAAAAAAATAATAAAAAATAGAGATCCGATATATGATCCGTAACATCCTTTTCATTGAGATGCTTTCAACTACACCTGAACCACTGGAAATTAACTAATATCTAAAATGAATTCGATTCGAAAATAAAATGATCAATTTTATTGAATTATTGATCTTGATTTTGTTTTGTGGGTTTATAATCTGTCTTCTATAAATCTGTGTATAGATAAAGTCAGTGTTGAGCTATAACCGAGTCTGTTTTCTACGCTGTCGCCACAGTAAGACAATTAAAGGGCAATATTGGTGCCAGTCATTATCACATATGTGATAGAACTGGTTAAACACGTTCCAAATATTATTTTATCACAGTGATCATTGCTACGATAGATGCGTAATCAATGTTTCAACATCCGCCTTGACGAACGCAAAAGGAAAACACGAGTTATCCCTCTAATAACTGACTGAAGTGACGGGTGATAACAGATACATGGGCGAATTTCTGCTCACTAATAATTCCTTCCAAGACCAAAAGTTGTTGTGTGAGACAGTGAAAGGATATCTGAAATTCATAAAAAAAAATGACTGTCACTAGATAAGAGAACATGAAAGAAAAATAGAAAAAGTCCGTGCATTACCATGTTTTTATAAGTATAGAATGAATAAACAAACGTGAATATACGGACTGTTTCTATTTTTCTCGTATTCTCTTAACTAATGACATTCAATTACTTTTTTGAATTGCCAGATATACTCTTACAGTCTCATATAACAACTTTTGTTCTTCGAAAGAATTATTAGTGAGCAGAAATTCGCCCAAGTATCTGTTATCACTCGTCACTTCAGTCAGTTATATAGAGGGGTAACTCGTGATTTCTGAAAGAAATGAATTGAAATGGGGTTTAATATCCTACTGTTCTGCTCCTATGCTGGGCTAATGAAGACGGGCATACGCCATACAGTGTGCTATGAGGGAAATTTTGCCCGGGCAGCGGCACTATCGCCTAATCTTATATCGAATTCCAGGTGCCAAGGGATCTTTTACGTGCATTTCAATGTATACACGGGACCTCGGTTTTTCGTGTCACCCGAAGGACTAGACAGCTGTCCTTGCCAGGCCCTCCGTCAAATTTATTAATTAGACATTAATTAACTTATTAAGGCCATAATCAACTCAAGATTTCATCGCTATATTTACTGGATTGGGATAGGATTTGCTGCTCAACTTGCATTAATGATTTAATCATGAAATAGATAATCGAGACTATGTTTTTTTTTCTTTCCGACTTCAGTAATGATGATCGAGGCTAGGCCGAAAATTCAATTGCTAAATTCTCAGTTCAGAGTAGATCAATTTGACTGAAATTTTCAGCAAATTCTCTTTACATTATCTAGATTAATATTATTATAGTAAGAACTGCAAGATCTTTACCTGATCTCCCATAATGTATCTTTAAAAAGTGTTTGTTTGTTTAAGCAAACACAATTCTTCACTGAATACATAAAACGTGCACTGGTTGATTGGCTACAAAATGATCTTTATACTGACCGGAATAACTCTTTTAAATAAAAGCCTAATGTGCACAATTCATCCAATGGACATGGATGAATGGATAGATGACAATGTTGCCGGGGATACATACATACAAATTTAACTTTTCTATACTGGTCTCAAACCAAAAAAGTTGAGAGTTTTTAATTTTAAGTAAACATCCAATGTACACAATAATATCAATGAATACTGATAGATAAATGGCCAGTGGCTTAATAAAACGTATGCTAGATAAATTTGCTACAAAATGAAGTTTTATATACTCACCGTTTCTTTGAATAAGTTTTAACAACACCCGGGTTACTGGATAGACAGGGGCTAATGGTTAGAATGATTAACCAGCCTATAGATAATGAAAACCCTTGTATTAAAGTCATCATGGCAGGTTCGGGGTTTTGTTGAGTATTATTTCACAAAACCATTCCAAGAATAACTTCAGAATTCATAAATGACCAAAGTATAAAATATAAGATCCACCTTTAAAAGTCCCCAAATACTAACATCAATTATCGTTATGGCGTAATTGTGTTTCGGTCACAATAGTTCGACATTATATTTATTTTAGAAATCGAGCTGCACAATAAACAAAGCTAGAATCGGTTTATTTGTATTAAGCCATCGGAGACCAACTAAAACGACATATAGATTGATTTAAATGGATGAATGTACATGTTATTTAACACTAAATGCAGGCGAATTTACGTAGACAATCTCTAGTTAATTTAATCAAGAATCGTATTTGGCAAAATCACAAAACCCGCGAATTTTTTAGCTAGATAATCCCTTCACACAATCAACCAAAAAGTTAACGATCAAAAGAGTCTTAATGTTGTCAAAATATCAATTCATTTCCAGGAATCTTTCAAAATCACGTTACAACATCAGCTGAGTTAATCCAACATAAAAATATCCAGCCATAAATACGAGCTTTGTACATGTGATTTATGTTGGTGGAGTTGATCAGTGTACATCCCTAGCTAATACTTTCTGTTAGTTTCAAACATCTATCTGTATGCCGCTCACTCATCTTCCCCGGCCTAACCGCCATCGATTTCATATATTGAGTTCTTATAACGGTTAATTGAGTGAAGACTTTATTTTCAGGAATAACCAACGAGGTGCCAGTATTCTATTAATGTTAACTCGTTAGCATTAAATTTGCTCATAGACAAACAACACATTGTTGGAATTGCGAGATCGAAATGAGAAGCGAGTAGCTAACAGCTTTTTTAAATAAAGAATTAAAGAGGCTTAACATTTTTGTGAGAGAGAGAGAGTGAGAGAGAGAGAGAGAGAGAGAGAGAGGTAGAGGGAGCGGGCGAGAGAGTAACGTTTATTCGACACAAACTAGGTCATTTCGGGACTAGTTGTACGATTACGTGTAGGGGTATTTAGCAGTGAGAGGAAACCGGGGTACCCGCAGAAAATCCACGAGATTCGGCAGGCGACCATTCTTCTTGTCGTGTTCAAGGTGGGGATTGAAACCACGTCACTTGACTCAATGGTAGACCTTATGACCCAAAGCGCATTCATTAGACTACTTGACCACCCAAACACCCTTAGTATTTACCTTTAGGTGATGTCCTATTTGCGTTCGAGATATGTCAAGCTTTAAACGCTTTAGCGGAAGTCGCTCCGTTTACTAATAATTTACCTTTCGTTTTAAGCTGTCGACTGTTGAACACACAATTCGTTATATTTCTACTTTGGCTCTCTATCCTGGGACCTAAAATGCGCAATCTAGATAGATACTAAAATCATACCTAATTAAAGAGGTCTAGTCATTTTAAAGTTGGTATTGGTTTTTGTATAAACTGAATAATGGAGTTGTAGAACGTCAACACGATAGTCAATGTTGAGACGAGCACAAGCTACCCTGTGTCGGGGTGGAGTGGCGTAGACATATGAATTCTAAATGTTAATAGATTATCATAGGACTGACCATCCTTCACAGACCTAGAGCGAAAATGACCTTTGGAAAAAATACGCAGACAAAACTGTTGGAACAGAAATCAGATTTGCCGTGTGGTGTTCCATAATGATTGACATCCCGAAGTGACCCACCGTTTCCAAACAGCAATACACAATCAAGCAACTAGAAAACCCACCGCTTCACAAATCTTACAGTTCTTACGATATAATTTGTTAAACGGAAAACAAACAACTTTATGTATTAATATGTAAACGATCTAACACACAATGCGTTATCCCCGATTCGAGATATACAGGTTTTCCTTGTTCAACACCTTCAAGAAATGTATTTTATAAAGACAGCAAAGTAAAAAATGTAAATAATAAGGCGGGCTTTGATCTACTTTAGAATTGCTAATTAGTAAAATTTACGAGATAAGCCTGTCTGAATAATGCATTTAATTAAATGATGGTCTTTCATTTTTGCCAGGTATTCCGCATTTAGTTGTAAATTGGTTTACTTGATTGAACCTTTTGATTGTAATAAACAAAAGGTTATTTCAAACTTAGTCTAATTGTGTTATATAGTTGAATGTCACGGAATTTAGTAAAACAACGTTCATTATTGCATTTACGTCTGTGGGTAACTAAGAAAGAAACAGGACGTCTAGAAAAAAAATGTGGGGCTTTTTATTTCATTAATAAGATTAATGTTAGGCTAATAAACATTAGCCTTATTTAGAATTAACAAAAATAAATTCTGAAACATCTTATTTGATTTTAATTTAAGCCGTTATTAGTCGTTATAGCTATGGTGGCTGATAGTGGCCATGTTAAATCTCGCCTTTTTCATAGCACGACAGTATTGACGCAATCACACGACACCTTACTCTGTCGTATCATCGTGTTAATTTTATCGTAACGTCGAGATGTCGACTTGTCGGCCTAGCCTCTTTCTACAAGTCACAAAAATACAGCTGTTGGCCTACTCATTACATTATATAAGTAGCAGATTAGATAAATAAAAATAAGACTCGTGCAAAAGAGATAATAGAAAAACGTTGATTAATTATTTGTTTTCTCAAAAAAATGAAACATTTTGTGCCCAAAAGTGAATTATATTTGGTGTTTATTCAAAAAATCTAGAATTACAATAGCAGGACTAAAGTGGGTTAACTGTGTTAATTCTTTGAATTAGAAGTGGTATAGGGAGGTATCGAACAAGTTAGCATACATTGCCTCGTGTACGACACGTTTCATCTATTAACTTAAGTTAACGTGATTTACTGCAAACCATATTTTGTCACAAATAAACGTGATGTAATGGAGCGATAGTCTAGAAGAGATTTCAGAAGATTTCACATTGGTTTTATTTCAGGGTGGGAAGGGAATTGTAGAAAGAATCAAATCGGGCCACATTCTTTAAAATCACCGCATTAGTGTAGCACGCCACCCCAACAGTTGCAGGAGAGGATTTTTTTGAGGTGCAGAAAACGATTCGCAGCTGTTATTGACCTTATCGCATATTCACCCGTTTGGCTTCACTAATGGGATCGAGGCCTAGATGATTAAAAATAGGTCTAGTATTGCCTATGAACACACTCTAAAAGTCCCATACGCTCCCTCCCCACGTCTCTTATTTTGTTTTACAAATAATTTCAGAATCAATAAAATAGTATCGTCCGTTCACCATTTTGCACACAGAGATCCATCTACATCATACTTCGAGAATAGATCTCTGCCCTCATTGGCCGCCATATCCAACAATTCGTATACTGTTTTGTAATATATACGTTCCTACTTCGGTTCACATCTGTTATACACAAAAAGACTAATTAAACATTTTCAATTTTATTAAATGAAAGCAGAAAATATACTTATAATACTCGAAATATACTTAGTGTCTTCGACTAAAATCGACGATTTAGGACCTAAAATGTCGGTCAAGTGTCTGTTCTCACTATGGCCCGTTCACATGACAGATTCCAGTACATAGTGGAATCTTTCCAGCATGACTATTACACATTCAGTCCGTCTTGTAGAATATCATCCTTCACATTTGCTGTCGGGGAACAATTCCCCCTATAGCACACTACATGGCATATGTCCATATTCATTACTCCAGTTGATACATAAAAATAACCGAAGGAAAGTTAAATCCCATTCCTACAGTACAGAAGATCATAGATCCATTGGAATCAAGCAAACAGACTTAAATTGTATATTGCTGACAAAATACGGCCTGCAGTAAATCACGTTTATTTGTGACAAAATATGGTCTGCAGTAAATCACGTTATCTTAAGTAAATAGATCAAACGTGTTTATCGGTGTTTTTTTGTGAAAGACGGCTAGTTTCAATGACTCGAAAACCCCCCATCAATAAAATATTAAATAGCCGCATGTAGTAAGATACGTATCGGCGAATTGCATATTCTTATCTTTTAAATTTAACATCCTCAACAACGTCAGTGTTTCTCAAATTCGGATTCCATAGGGGTTCTTTCGATGAACAGAATAGATATTGCTCATGCAATGCATAACAGTTCAGAATGATGTACAAAATTTAGTCTAGAGCCCACTATTAAAGATGGGTTCCCCGAAAAGTATTTATCGGGTGGTTATTTCCAATAAAAGTATGGCAATTTTGGTATATATGGAAAGTAGAGATATCCAATTTTACTAGAAAAATACTTGATTCCCCGAAAAGCACTCATGGAGCGTATACAGGACAAAAATGTAAGGGTTCCCCTAATCGACAGCCCGACGATTAGGAATTTCTGCACGCGTGATGTCAAAGGTCACACGCGAACACTGAGCGCCTGATGTACAAGTTGATCAACTTTATGAAGAGTTAGACGTACAACACTTTCTGAGATAAAAATGGCGGAAAAAGACGCGGGTAGTGGATAATCCGAGAATTTAATTAGGATTCGATATTTGTAATAAATAGTAAGCGATTAAAGACAACATCGTCTTATGTATGCAATGAATTCTCCTCTGATTTCCAAGAGAGGTAAGTCACGTGACGTAAACATGACCTGGTTTGATCGAATTTTTATAGCAAGTCATTCCTTCGCAATTACAATGTTTGAGAAGGATTTTAAGCAAAATTATGACAAATTAATAAGTTTGAATGTGTTTTTAGTCCATATATACCATTAAATCACCCAGTTTGTACGCGGGAATGTATCTTTAAGGCAATGTCTCGGGGCTCTAATGTTGGCAGGCACCCAAAGGATTTAAAAGGAAAAAGACGACTGTTAAATAGCAAGATAGATTTGCGTGAACGATAATGTTACCAAGACACATCGACACTTCTGCAAGGAGGCGTGGTAGTCCAGCGATCGGGGCACTGTATTTCTCAGGGATAATGCCTGTCTAGACATTCAAAGCGAGTCGATTGTCTTGCGGATGAGTGGAAAAGCCGAGGCCCAGAGATGGATTGATACAGAAATAGAGCAGATTTTCAACACTAGAACTGCAGATTGACTAGACGTTAAATTCCATTAGAAAGTAGAAGTTCCCTTTAAGTACACTGCGAATGCCCAGGTGGTACAGAAAACTAGAACATTACAAAAATGTCACCAGACAAATTTATCGCTAGATTCCCATTTCCATCGCAATGATATCTGACACAGACAGAGTGTTCTGTTTACTTTTAACAGAACAACCAATTTCAATTCAATGGCTAATTAAATTTCGCCAGAAAAAATCTCGAAACAACCGTCAAATTCTATAATCTCCCAGGATTAAATACGAACAAATTTAATTTAGTCATTTACATGGATAACTATAACTGGATACATGGGTCCAATCGATATAATAGTAAAATTATTCTATTGGTTGAAGTAAAGCAAATGATTAAATCGTGGTGTGTGGAGAAATGAAATAAATCGTTGATATATTAACCCCGATCCGCGTCTGACGTTTCGTCAATAGTTTTATTATCAATGCAGCGTCGTCATATTTGGGCTGAATCAATTTTAATACAAATATAGAAATGTATTGGTACTAAGTTCAGAAGGTGACTTGGTGCCTCTTAGACTAAATTTATTTCTGTCGGCTTAAT